AGAAACTCCCAGTGCTTTGACAAAATGCTAGTGGAGACAGCTTCCTTAGTAGGCAGAAAGTATAGTATCGTTAGCATCCGAAGAACAATGAATCAATCACTTGAGAAACAAAAACGAAAAAGAAAAATCTTCATAGAGACATTTTATCAGACAAGTGGTGTGCGTTCAGAAAACCGAAGTCAAACCANGAGCCCGGTTNAAAGAAGAAGAACAATCTCATGGTTTTTCTTAGGTAAGAAGGTTTTACTCATATACAACGAACTTCAAAAGATAAGCAGGATAGTGAAGGATCATTTCAACAAACCTTAGAAATCATATCTACGTTTGGCTTAAGAGCATGAACCTTAGAAAATAATTCATTTCCTACAAGAAAATGAAAGACGCTCCAAAAGTTCATCACAGAGACAATTGATCAAACTCCCAATTCTACGCAACTCGAACTCAATCCATTTACACGAACCGAAAATCAAAGCTTTTTAATATTTACATTAGAATATTCAAAGAGTAATAATTCAGATCCCAAACACACAGTAAACAGAGAGGTAGAAGAAACAAATATATTCTATGCAATTTCAGAATATCTTGGGTCATGAAGGCTACATGAAGGTAAGAAACGTTGTTGTGTGGCTTCGTCCTCCCATTCAATCCCTTTTATCCATTCTTCATCTATGTATTGTATGACAAGTTCTTCAACTTTGAAAACGCTTTTAGAATCCAATGGAAGCTTTCTCAGCTTCGGACAATTGTCGAATACGCCAAGATGGCTCAGACGTGGAAAAGGCAGAGCATTCCAGTAGATGCTCTTCAGCTCTGGCAACTCATCCAAGTAAAGGACTTCAAGTTTCTGGAAAGGAACAATAATATTACATGTCTCCTTCTCTAAAACACTTCCAGCGTTCTCTTTGCTTATTATCTCCACTACTTGCTTCAACTTCCAAAGGTAAAGATGAGTAAGGTTTGGAGCGAACAGCAGCCACGTCAGATCCTTTAAACCGTAACACGCCATTATTTTCACATAAGAGAGGTTTGAGAAGCATGGACTTGTCAGACTCTTGTCCCATGGTGTCTTCTCTATCTTTATCTCCCAAATTACACTATCCGATATCCAGATTTTACACAGATTATCCATAGCTGCTGGCAAAACTAATTCTCTTACTGATTCTTCCCCACGCGCCTTAATAGAAAGGTGTTGAATACATCTCCCCACTCTGGAATCATATACCAATAGCTTCCCAACCAAACTTGCCGAGATACTTATGCTTATGAACTCTAAATGTTCTAACAGCTGCAGCTCCTTCATTACGCTCATATCTAGCCACACTTTGGAACCTCGTAGCTTCAATGTCCTCAAACTCGACAAATTTGATATCCCATCTAAACTCTCAAGTTTCCACGTCCACTTCAAATTCAGATGTATTAGCATTTTCAACTCTTGTAAACCAACTGGTAGTCGCTCTATCTCTGTCCTTGACAAGTCGAGATATCTCAAGGAAACCAAACCTGATATTTGCTCTGGCAATCCACGGAGGCTTTCATTTTGTGATAGATCCAAAACGAGTAGCCTAGGCATAGACCGAAAGAATTCACCTGAGATACTTGCCAAGGAATTGTTTTCCTGAAGGAGGAGAGTTGTAAGTTCAGGACAGTCAGGGCGCTCAGATATTTTTTCAATCTCATTCCACATTAGCGACATTCTTCTCACATTATTCCAGTTCTTGACTTTCGGTACTTCACGTACCCCAACACCAGCTTGCACAATGCATGTTTCTTTATACTTTCCAAGATCAGATGCTATCCATAGCGCCATCTCACGAACCACATCATGCATACTCACTTTCGATTTATACTTTCCTCCTTCCAACAATAAACATGCACGAACAAGGGTGCCGAGTATCTCATAACCTTGATT